TGTCTTCACATTAAGGAACAGCAGCCAGCAAGACAGTGGAGGAGCCTTGTGAGAATTCAGCAGTCTCTCCCACCATATCCTGTGCTAATCAAACAGCATTCTTAGCACTCTGCAGTATCTCATGTGGTTGAATTTAGAATTGTTCACTTGAATAAGGTTTCAAATTGGCAGATCTGTGATTAGTCTATGAAAGTTAATATCAGCTTAAATAAGTATATTATAGAAACAGAAAAGCAGCAAAGCGATTCCATTTTTACATGGGTTTATTCAGTTGTGTTTCTAGCAACAGAAACAGAAATTAAATTGCACTTTTCATTTACAAGACAGGAATGTCCTTAGCATAGTATTCCTTGGCATACTTTTAAGGACAGCTTCTTGAAAAAGTACTTCGAAATCAGCTGATGAATTTTTAAATAATAGGAGAATAAATGATCAAACAGGTTTTCAGTTAATGTTAACTAATAGTAATGATTGCGTGGCAAAGTGTCAACCTCCTTACAAGTAAGAAAGTAATGAACACCCAATGAAAATGCTCATCCAGGTGCAGGTATGAGCCAATGTTCAGATAGTAGGAAGTAAGATTAGCTAAAATGACAAAATTCCAAAGTTTTTTTTGAGCCAAATCAACACGTTTCTTATGTCAAAGAAGTTGATACAAAAGATACAAATAGCAAAAGATTCTAAATGGGCTTTAAACTAGAAGGACAAAGCTTAAATTTGAAAACCAGGCAGACAGTAAGGTTATGCCAAATCATGAAAAATCATGTAAGTCCTGAGGGCTGTAAAGCGATTAAAGCACTTTGGGATACTGCGGGGAAGCAAAGTTATGCTTTTTATAACACATGGAGCTCATTTCAGTATTTAAAAAGTAATCAGTGGGACTCCTGGAAATTGAAACTGTATTACTGATGTATTAGTGATGAACATATTCAAAAAATTGTAATAAATAAGAACTAGATGGTGCAATTGGCACCGTCATTTGAATAAAAATCAATTTCTATACAGTCCATGATCTTCCTCCAGAACATGTTGGGGTAAGAGTGAGTGTTCTCAATATCGCAGTACTTCATGGCTATTGCAAAAACATTCAATCTTTTGGTTACTCAGTGCAGCAAAAATGGATTAAATTGCAGAACTCTAGAGGACAATTATTTGGGTTTATCCAAACTGAAAAATAGCACCTGGAATCATGAAAGTTAAACAAGCTATAAATAGAATTATAGTGACAGCTTTTGGGAACTGTAAAAGCAAAATAAATCACAGGAGAATAAGTAATTTAAAATATTGATGACTTGTAAATGACATGCAACAACTCTAGAGTTATCTCCCAACTTATATAATTCTGAGATTCTGTGATCAAGTCTCAAAGCTGGACCAGCAGTGAGCAGGAAATTGAACCTGATTGACATGATAATGCTGTGATTTGAACTACCCACATGAGAAAAAGATACAAACATTAGTATGGATTATTACCTTTTATGGCTTATCAACAAATACAGCTGAGAAGTAGAAAAACTCAAATATTTTACAAATTAGAGAATATTTAGCTAAGAACTGAAGAAATTTGTTGATTAAAAGTTCATTCTGTATTTTTAACTCTGATTCATATGAATCAGAAATGTGACTTAATTGTTTTCTAATGCATCTACTTGCCTATTGATTTGACTGAGTTTTAGTTATCTCTTGTATCATTGATTTTGATTGCAGCTTGTTTTCAAGTCAACTGCTATCCAAAAAAGGATAACAGTTTTTAAAACTATGCCTGTTAAAAATAGGACAGTATCATCGGCTATTAGGAATCTTTCCACAAACACTGCACAAAAAAAAAAAAGAGTGATCAGTAGGATAAGAAAGCTATCACTTGCCTACATGGTTGTTGCAGAGAGTTGTTTACTTCTTAGTGTTACTGAAGAGTTGGTTTTAACAGGTTTTGTCCAAGAAAAAGTTGCTGTAAGTTTTCCTTTTACTGCATCTGCTCTCCCATACTTTTAAATGTAAGTGAAGACTAACAGGAAGTTTTTTCTCTCCATTGTTCAGAATTATGATAAAGGTAATAAAATCTAGAGAGTTATCATAAAGTTTTCCAGAATTGTACACATATCTATGTGTTTGATTATGCAGATGTTAATCTTATGTAAAGCATTTACAAAATACAACAGCATTGCAAATAGCCATGACCATATTTATCATTTGATTTTTAACTTTTTTAAAAAAAAACAATTATTGCATTGTTTCAACACACTACTGTGTGTCACAATTATTTTGTCAACAGTAACTGTTAACAGTAATCCTGAAGCATGAGGGGCTTCTGTAACCATTTCAAAATGTCTAATTATAATATCAACACATCCCTTGATTTGTAGATGTGAATATTTCATTTTATGACTTTCCATTTGTCAATACTTTCAGTAATTGTTCCCTTATTGGTTTTCATATTTTATAGTTTTACAAAGTAAGAAACTCGTAATCTCTGTGGAATAACCATATGATATTTTCAGTTCCTTCTCAAAAAGCAGTTATTCCTACCTCAAAGAGCACTTGCTAACACTCAGCCTAGTAGTTACTTCAAGCAATCAACTTGTTGGTTTTTCCTTAGTGAAATACGTTGTTTTTCTGCTTTTGGTTCACAACAAGTCTTGCAGTTTCATTACTTTTCAAACAGCCTTATCACATGCAGTTCAAAGCTGAAATCTGATTCTTTTTTTTTCGCAATCTTCTTTGATATTCTTGTGATTTTCTTATATTTTAATATAGTTTGCTATATATGCTGAGAGCTTTCCTAGTTATTTCTGGCCAATCTCGTTTTGTTCAAAACCTTAAGTTGGCCTGTGGAAATTTTTAGAAGCACACTCTTATCCTTTAAATAGGATGAAAAAAATCTATTGGGTTGAAATTGGGTCAGAATTGATCTTCTCAGGGTCAGAATGTCAAATAGTAGATTGCTCAATCAGCTTTATCACTAGCAAGATTTTCCAAATTATTATCTTTACGCATCAGTGGTTTTTTTCAGTGGTAGAATGAAGTTTAAAAGTTTGTGAGTGATATTGTGCTTAATAAAAATCCACCTTTTTATATGCGTCTTTGCATCTGTGCTTTTTCTCCTTGAAAGGTTTGCAGTGAATTTCCTTCTCTAACTTCAGATTGGAGTCTTTTCTTTCTTCTCTTGGCTAAGATTGCTGTTACTACTTTTGCCACCCTCTTTCTTCCCCAATGTCAGTTGAGGGGGAAAGGGTAAAAAGAATAGAACCTCAGACATTCTTTCATACCATTCCCAAGCTAAATATTTCTTGTCTAAACTTCTACCTGATAATTCACTAGCACTTCAACCTCTGCACTTGAACTTCCATGGCTTCATCGTGCTTTTTTTTCTTTATTACAGCTTTCTGAAGTCATACTAATAAAATATTATCCATCATATTACAAGAAGACTTAAATACTCAGTATTTTTACTAAATTTATGAACTTTTATTAAATCTTTTCCTGTATGTGTGATATAATAGATGATAAAAATAGGAATTGACTTCTTGAATTAAAAAGGATTATCCATACCTGTAGTACATATTCTATGGGAAATTCTTGTAACAAATTACCCTTACAGTGATGTTATACAGTGCAGTGATGAAATATTGACATACAGATACATCTAGGAATCTAGATTTTCCAAATCTAGTAAAAATTAATTGAAAATATACCCAAGAATAACAAACATTCCTTATTTAAATAGCCATATCTCAGAGAGTTACTGCTGAATTTTGACCAGTCTTCATAGGCTCACGGGAGTTAATGTAGCATTCTGGCAACGTATGGCTTAATTATGCAAGTGTCATACTTCTAGGACTTTGTCCCAAGTATACTGAAATGAGTGCATGTGAAAGTGTTCTAACCTTTGGGATTTTTAACTGTTCTTAAACTCATTATTCCCACCCTGAATTGATTTTTTTCAACCATAAGGTTTATTTGGTCATCAACAGTTATTTGAGTTTGATTTAAAACAGTTTTCTTTCCTGGCTGGTGAGCACTAAAGGGAGAACTAATCATCTTTGCCAGTGAACACTGCAAACAATGAAAATGTTATTTTAGAGTAAATGAGCACAGTGGAAATATTATCTGAAATGTTCAGTGCTTCAAAAATGTAATGTTTTGTTTTGTTGTCATGTATTATAATTTATTTCAGTATATGAACATAGCTTTGAATTATCAATTATGTAGATGCTTGTGTTCATGTAATTTGTAAAAACTCTTTAAAAATGTTCAGTAGCTCTTAAACCTTGAATGGAAGTCCCATCTAAAGCATCAATCCCATACAATAGGTAATATTTAAAAGATAACAAATTCTTACCTGGATGTACATCACATGCTTATACGTTGCTTGTGCTTGTGTTTTCCTTGATCTATTTATTTGCTACTTATCTTCACAGTTTAAGTTCTTGACGCCAGGAATTGTCTCTCCTTCTATCAACAGAGTAGCTAATTCAGTGGTTGTAGTTATGTCTGACATGCTAAGATTTACTCCAATGAAATGTATTCAAAAGAGCAGCAGAGCCACAGTTATTTTTTTTAACAATTTCTTATGCCTCAAAATATTTCTTTGTTTAATTTTTAAACAATTAATTGAATTTTAGACATTTTACGTAACAAGTCTGTTCACGTTGGCCTTAGCACACAGTAATGGTATAGTTGTGTATATAAAAAGGTATGAATATATAAAGACGAACACATTTTATATATTATTAACTACTAGCTGTTAAGAATTCAAGGACCTTCAATTTTGTTGTACTTTAATGCATTGTTAGATACCATTCATATATAAGTCCAGTCTAGAACTATGATTTTTGTTAGATTTTTTTGATGCTATTTTGAAAAAGTAGAATAAGGGTTAGGTAGTCTTTTTGAAGTTGAAGATACAGATTAGCTAATATGTTTGGGATATTGTTTGCCAGTGGTAAAGTTGATTAATAAAGTAAACTACTTGACTCATCCTAGTATGTATTTTAAAACAGGTGAGGCTAATGATAAGGATGTTCAGGTGGTGGAACTTCCCATTGTTGACAGCTTACACCCACGGCCACCTTATTTACCCTTGGCTGTCCCTGAAGACTTGGCTGATAGACTAATTCGTGTTCATGGGGATCCTGCAGTGTGGTGGGTTTCACAGTTTGTGAAATACTTGATTCGTCCACAGCCTTGGCTAGAAAAAGAAATAGAGGAAGCCACAAGGAAACTTGGTTTCAAACATCCAGTGATCGGGTGGGTATTTGGTTTTCTTTTTAACTCTCTGTGCTTTAAAATGTGTATGTAGTGGTTTCTGTTCAGGAAAAATTGTCTTATGATGATTATCCAAGAGCCTCAAGTATTTTGTAAGGGGAGAGGGTGATTTCTAGATGAAGCTATTATTTTTTAACTATGCATAATAGAGCTTGATTACGAGCACTCCTTCAGTGTACTTGTCTACCTGCAGTTGGACTGGATATGTAAAAGGCATCTGAATAGAAGGTTTTTTTAACATGTGCTTTCATGTCTAGTAATACAGAATTTCATTAATTTAATTGCCTTAGAGCTTGTATTCCAGACACTTTATTGTCTGGGTCTTCTTTTTAAGTGCCTATAGCTTTTTTATTTGAGGAAAAGAGGCTAAGCCTACATTTTACATGCCACAATCCACAACTAATTTTATCACTGGCTACGTAGGAACATGATGTGTGCTTTTTGCTTCCCTGCTGATTTTTTCCACAGTTGTTGTTTCTCAGTGGTAACTATGAATTGAAATGGTCTGTATGGGGAGATATGAGGATAAGGAAGGAAAGCACCCGTGGGCAATAAAGTCCAGCGTGTGGAAGAAAGGTTTTCTGTCATATAGCACGAAAAATGTTGCTGTTGCTGTACTAGAGTCTGCAACTACCGCTTCCTTTGCCAGAATTTTCCTTGAAACCTTAAGCTTTGTTTTTTGAGGAGTACACAATAGGTTTGTCCAAACGTTAGTCAGCTTTTGACCATTGAATTGGTAGGCCCCTTCAGCACTGGTGTATTTGGAGCCTTGTTAGGTATCAAGAAGGTTGAAAAGATGCATTTATAACAACCTTCACTCAAACCATGCATTTTAGTTGATGTCTTAGTATATCCATGATGGAAATATTCCTAATTTCTTTTTGAGCTGTATTGATCAAACATAATCTAGCTACAACAGGTAACCTTCTGCACCAAAGAAACACCTCATATGCTGTAATTCAATGTCCTTCGTTCTTTTCCTTCACTTACCTTGTGCCTTCTTTTCACGATTGCTATATTGCTTTCAAGAACAGACTGACAGCTAACTTCATGCTGCCAGTGTGTCTTGATGGACGTGGATGACTTTTTAATCCTTCCTTATTTTGTGTAGGAATTCAATTTGGTATGCATTCTAAAAGGGCAGGCTTGAAACTTAGAGTTAAAATTTCATTTGCTAAAGTGTGTGTAGTATTTGTAAATTTAATTCCTGATTTCTACCTCTTCCCAGTGTTCACGTTCGAAGGACAGACAAAGTAGGAACAGAAGCAGCATTTCATCCGATTGAAGAATACATGGTACATGTTGAAGAGAGGTTTGAACTTCTCGCTCGCAGAATGCAAGTTGATAAAAAGAGAGTGTATTTGGCTACAGATGACCCTTCCTTATTGCAAGAGGCAAAGTCCAAGTAAGATGAATTATGTTTATATTACAGCTTGTTCCTTCTGGTTAGCTTTTCGATTTCTGGCTATCATGCACGCACAAGTTTTAGTATAATTTTTTTCATCTTTTTTTCAGTTCAGATTGCATTTAATTTTCCAGGGATTTTGATTTTCCTCTAAGATATGGTTTTTAGTTTTTTTTTTTTCCCTCAAGTATGCTTTTCAAAACTTAATGTTAAAAATCTAGAACAGTTGAGCAAGATACGTCTGACTATTTAAAAACAAATCAGTGCTGTAAAAAGGAGGTAGAAATAGAAATAATGAACACACCAAACGTGTTTTAAAATATACATATTATAAATAAACTATTCAGGAATATTGTAAAAACTGGTTAATATATTAAGAAGTTTCATCTGTTCAAAAAATACATTTCTGTGAATAGTTGCCAGAGCAATTTTTAGAAGTTGGTTGAAAAGCTTCTGATGATTTTCAGATAGACTTCTATACTGACAACTTAGAAGACTTTAACCCTACATGTTGAATAGTTTTAAAATTTGTCCTTAACTATATCTGGGATTCTTGACCTGTAACAGTGTCTCTGTCCTTTTTTTTCCCCTTTGTCCTCTTCTATCTCTCTAGAAGGTGGATTTGCAGTTTGCATTCATTTACTCCTAATATGGCCTATATTTACGTGTGAATTAGTACTTTTAATTAATGAATACTTCTTAAAATCAAGGTTACTCAATAGTGGCAAGCTTTTAAACTGTTTCATCCTTGGTATACATTCTTGGAAAAATATATAAGATAACATAGTGTGTAACAAATTTTCTTTGGCATATACAAGGTAAGCAGAAAATGTTATTTTCTGTTAGGGGAATTTTCTACAGCATGGAAAATCTGTGTATATCAACTGTGCTATTTCTATTTTTCTTTCATATCTATAAAGGGCTGCTATTTAAAATTATGGTGTTTTATAAAAACTAAATAAACATATACAACTCCAGATGATGGCAACCTAATCCTTCCATTTTTGTATGTATAGCAGCAAGAACAGTAGCAGGAACAGTTATAAAATAACATTTAAAGTGCAAATCTAAACAATGGAAAGACGAGTAATACAAAATTGAGGTAATAATATTTAATTCATTGTAATGTCCTACATAACTTTATTTAGTTTGTAACATAACAGAGTTCAGTGTTTCTGTAACAATCTTAGTTATGCATTTTTTCTTTATTTTTGTGTACTTTTCAGTTCTTAGCACTCTTTGTGAATAATAATGAGATGCTCTACCTATGTAAATATATCATCCCAAGTTCTCAGTAGCAACAAAATTAATTGTAGAAGTGTAACATGTTCAGTAAAACGGTACTGAATTACATATTAAGCATTGCAGCTCAGGTCCATTCCATATCACAGTCTTACTGCAATATGGTAAGATACAGCTCAATAGTACAGCATTGATTTTGCACGTTTTCTTAATGAAAGGCATAGAAGCTGTAAATAGGAGAGAATTTTTTATGCATTACTACTGAGTTTTAAGGTGAAAGTTTACACTGAAACATAATTTCCTAAGTTACTTGCGCCCTACTATTGCTTGCCATTGAGTGGAAGGCATTTGAAACTTCCTGTGATTTCACAGAAGGCAGGAGGCATTTTGATATTTTGGCATTTAAGGGCATCTGAAGGCAGGTTAAGGTCATGTTTTGGCAGTAAAGAAGCTTTTCTTCTTGTGAAATCAAGTACAAATTAGTTTACACTTCTGACAGTAAAAGTCACATTGAACTACTAAGCTTTGATAGAAATGGCTGTCACACTGCAGTAGCTTATGTTGCATTCTTTGCAATTATTGGTGCAATAATATTAGTAAAGTACTAGATATTATATCTGTCTATATGAGAGTGATTGGCTGTCAAACCGTGTTGGCATTTAAATAATGAAAAATTAGCCAACATTCACATGAATAGGCATCTTGTTTCTGTTAAGAGAAGTATGTTTTCAGGAACTACCCTTGCAGTCAGTTGTCTACCAACTGCAACTACAGTAGTAAAAATAGGGTAGTCACTACTGTCACTTTGTAGAATATTTTTGTTTTACTGGAGGACTTGGCAGTGCTGGGTTTATGGTTGTACTCAATGATCTTAAAGGTCTTTTCCAATTTAAATGATTCTGTGATTCACTGTCTGGTCCTTTCCTGTTTTAGAGAAGAGAATGTGTGAGGAAAACTAGAAGGTGTCCTACCAAATGTGGGGTTTGGGTGATTCTGTCAGTAAGAATATGACAAATTATTAATTATTCATTTTCCACACATTCAGGAATCCTAGTAATAGGATTGTGCCTAAGTTCTACTTCAACAGAAAAAACACTTCCCAAAAGCTTACACTGTATTACTTTCACCATAATATAAATACAGGTGGAAAAGGGAATGGAAGGAAGCATCAGCTAGCTATAGAACTTTAGAAGTTTCATCTTCTTTGCAACCATTGTGGCTGGAATTGGATCTGAACAGAATCTAAGGTACTATAGTGAATGGGAAGGAGAATTAAACCTCACTTGATGCAGGAAGTCAGTGGGCCACATACGGCTTGAGAGGAGTATACACTTGGCCCTTTTCTTGGTATTTTTCTTTATATTCCGCTTTCAGCCCATGTTGGAGACAGGAGAGTGGATCAGAAGATTCTTTGGTCACACTGAATATGGCTGCTATTTTACTCACATTTTAAAATAGACCTCTTTTTCCAAGCATGAACACTGTGTGTTTGGGAAAACATAAAAGTGCTTGTTTGAAAACTTTAATGTGCGAGTGGATAAATTATAAACTTTGATCACTGGTTTGAAGAAATGGGCTCTGAAACTGTTGGTTAGATGAATTTGGATCAACTTTACAAACTGGATTGAAGACTAGATTTAAAAGCATCTCAAAGACTGTTTCCAGAATAAAGGAAAGAAAAAGAAAATTTTAAATTTATGCATAAAAAGATGTGTAAATAATTCTGACTTTTTAAAATCTGATCCAATATGACACTTTTTTTTCCTTGTGCTTCATTCCTTAAAGTTGGCTGATCTTTTGCTAGTAAGAAATCAGATTCTTCAAGAAAAGATCTTTTCTCTACTCAGCATGTGCATTCTGATTTTTGAAGTCTGAAGAAAGTGATTAATTTTAGCAGTATTCCTGATGCCAAGAACTTGCCAGGAGTTGTGCAAATATCTTTACCATGTTCACTGTCCCTAGAAATGCCACCTTCTGTTAAATGTTCTTCATGTTGCTCTGTTCGGAGTTCTTTCACTGAAATAAGATTGATGCTTATCTCTGTTTCTCAGCTAGTTTTCAGAGTAGAGTAGGACATATTTCCATTTGGTTTGTACTTTTTTTCTTTTTAAAAAGATATGAGTATGATTAACACAATAGAAACTAGAATAGAATGTATTGCAAATATAATGGTGTCATCTGTTGTATTTTGAGAAGTGGTTAAATTTTAACAAAAAAATGTTAGACATGAAAGGATGAGAAGGGGAATTGTAATTGTGGAAGATTCTTATTGAAAAAACTATTGTTTCATATGCTCCTGTAATTTCTCAGAAGAGAGATTATTAGTTATTCTAAATTAATATGGTTTCCACCTTCTCCTTCTTTTTTGTTTGTCTTGTTTTTAATGTAATAGGAACTTTCCCTGACATATATGATCAGATACAGCCTTTAAAGTTGTCCTGCTATTAATATGAAATTTACCATACATTCTACATCAAATGTGGGAGATTTGCATACAGATTTTTGATTTGCTCTTGAGCAAATCAGATTATTTCCTGATTTGGTAGTCACAAAAGCCAGCCTCTGCTTGTCCATTTCACTTCTGAAAAGAGTTTGTCCATATTTTTAACATTAAAATGGGATAAATTGGGCAAATTCTAGCAAGAGAGTGTCATAATCATGTGTGATGTGTGTCCAGAGTGTATTCACATGCTGCATTGTCTTATAGACTTTTTGAGTTTAAGCCTTGTTTTGAGCAATGTTTATCATAGATGTTTCAAACTTTGAAACATCTGGTTGTGGGTTTAATTTATTGTTGCTCCAGCATTACAGGCAGGTCTGTATTTTTGTTTTTCTTTATTAAACAGTATCAGAAGGATTAATTCTTACAGATTTAATATTAGCTGCCTTACTCTCTTATGCAATGCATTGATTTATATTTGCTATGAAGCTGTAAATTTGAAAAAAAATTGTTATATAAATATATGTAAAAATATATATATGTATGTATTTGTTTTATAATTAGCCCTGCAGTTGAAATTTTGTAGTTGACTGGTTAGCCGTTTGAGTTGCACTTCATGATTTAAATATAATTAATGTGTAACATCAATGCAATTACCACCTTTGTTATGTCTTTAAAAATGTGATAGGGGGCTGATTGAAAATTTAATTAATTCATTCTCCTTTTCACAGTTTCTTTCAGATGCAGTTCCTCAATACAGAGGCATAAATATTTTGAGAAAGACCATTACTTTTTAATATTTTTAAATTGTTCTTGTTACATGATAAAATCTTTTATTTTAAAAATTATATAAAACAAGGTTTTATATTTCAAATAAAATGTTAGCACTTAAAATAGTACTACTTTTTTTTATAACTAGAATAGTGTATTGGCATGAAACTTTACATCAATTTCCTTTTGATCAGTGAATTGTGAAATTTATTCTCCATGTGGCTTTAAGAACTATGAAAACGTTTTATTATTTTTGTTAATTTAGATCAATTTATTAAATATGTCCCTCTTAAAGGTGACTGGAGTTTTTTGCACAGTGTCATAATCAGTATCTAACAGACAGTATTGTAGTAAATGTAGTCTAGTTAAGTTAGAATCCCAGATCCTATTTAGTCGAGAAAACTAAGTGATCTGAGTATATTTCATCTAAAATCAGCATATCAGCATCATTAGCGGAATGTGGCATATACTTCCTGATATTTTTTTGCTTCCCCTACAGTGTTACATATCAGACACACAGCATCTTTTTATTTATTTTCTCTTCTAGATAGAGGGCTTGATTGGAGGCAGCAGTACCATTCTACAGGGTTCAGCAAAATTGTAATTCCCTTCCTGTAACGCAGAGACTCAACACAAATTATCGAGCTTAACTTGCAGCAGAAATAATACTTCTTAAAAAAATTAAAAATAAATAGAACAAGACTATGCTGTTAACAGTGTGTTGTATTTTCACAGGTATCCAAATTATGAATTTATCAGTGATAACTCCATATCCTGGTCAGCAGGACTTCACAACCGATACACTGAAAACTCTCTAAGAGGTGTTATTCTGGATATTCACTTTTTGTCTCAGGCAGACTTCCTGGTCTGTACATTTTCGTCCCAGGTAAACTGCAGTGCAAATACAATGTAGATTATATGTACCAGTTTTAAGTCTTAGTTTTCTTCATACTTCTGTTATCTTGTTCTCAGTAATCTCTCATGAAAATTTCAGGGAAGAATCAAAGGCTTGGTATTCTGTGTGAACATTTAGAGGACTGTAAGCATTGGTTACTTCTCCTTAATTAAGTTACTGCCTTAATTAAGGCATTCAAAATAAGCAAGAAAAAATATCAAAGAAGTTTGAGTTTCTTGTTTTGCACAAAGTAATGTATAGCTTGTGTCCCTCCATTTCTATGCAGCTTGGTAAGGCATTTGAAATAGATAAAAATAATTGTAAACATGTTTAACACCTTATTTTTGCAAGAAGGAAATATGTAGCTCATTTCCATCCATTTCTACACATCCATTCATTCTACTAGAATTCCAACATGTCCGCTGTTGCCTTAGTTGATGGTGGGAATGAAAAAGAATAAAGAACATTGACATTTAGTTTCTCTTCAGTCTATTCTGTTTCTAGCAATCCAGTGGCAGCATAATGTGTGAATTCTGACCCCTGTAATCGGTAGAGACTTCTTTTGCACATAATTATATGCTACAAGCTTCCTTTGTTGAGTGATATGATGAAGGAAGTTGGAGTCTAGTAGGAAACTGAATCATGTGATTGTCATTTTTAGTGTTTGGTTCTTTATTGCATTATATTGTACCTTAATTCCATATATCATTGAAAGCTTTTATAAGAAGCTGTTTTAAGATTAAAAGCGCAGCAAAGAGTCACCAAGCAGTATTTTGTGACTGATATGCTGATCCACCTGATTCAAATATGTCAAGATATGATTGAAATCAGATTGAATGTTTTTGACGTGCTCTTGTCATATTCTCTTAGGTGATACAATCACATGTGATTGTACTGTTAGATGGAAGCGGACACAAAGCTCAAAATAAAAATTAACTTAAATTTTTTTTTTCCCACAACCTAAAATGTAAATTGCCTCCTATCCTAATTACAAATAAGTAACAAGCATAATATTAGTACTAATTTATGGTCAATACAGTGATATGTTGATCTTGACAGGCAGAATTCTTAATAACATTACCATAGCAAGAAGACAGCAAAACCACAAAAGAGTATAGAAAAGCTTCTTATCTTTCAATCATCCTTGTAGATACACTTTATTTACTGTTTACCACACCTTGTAAGAAGACCTTTTATAGCATATTTAGAAGGTTATTAATATAGACCGTTTCAGACCAAGACATGAGTAAACTCTGAAGTAAAAATCTTTAGTAAGAAAAACTTGTGAGGAGCCATCCACTTTAATAATAATGTTTGATTTAGCTGAAGCATATCCACTGAATGCATATCCCAGTGAAAGAGCTAAGACCTAGGACTGGATGTCTTACATGGCACACGTGCATTGGTGTGGAGACAGTTCACATTGTGAAGGAAGAATCATGTGGTCTTGGATAAAAACTTAATGAAAAATCCGTAACATTTTCTGCTAATTGTATATTTAGATAGCTGTATTAAAAGTGATAAATGTTTGTTTCAAATAAGTTCCTGGGAATAAACATAGTTTAAGTATAGGTGCAAATGGCTTGGACAGAATATGCTGTTAGTTAATTTGGAGTAATACTGAGAGAAGAATACATATATTGAGAAGAAAAATACATCAACACAGTTAAGGTGATGCAGTTTGATCAGGACCTCTGGAGGTTGTCTGGCACAACCCCCTTTGAGGGTGGGTACCTTTGTGGTACAGGATATCTTTGAGCTTTAGTCTCATTCTGCATCACCATGCATTTGACAATCAACATGTTTATTGGATAATATATTTGATTTTCCAGAGTTGCAGAAAATTCTACTAAAGTACAGGAAATCTATATTGGACTGTTACTCTCAGTAGGTGAACTATGAATTTGGTCCAATAGTTTACTTAATTTATTCTGGGCAATTTCTTGTGCTTTAATAATTCAAACTCTTCAAAAAGAATTTAACACCAGTTTTTCTGGGCATGCAATGATGTGATTCTCTACAGAATCTTCATATATTGGGTTTTTCTAAGGTGTATTGCAAGTATTCCTACTGTTCATAAAGTTTTCTCTTTTATGGGTTTAACATTTAATTCATTGATTTCTAACATTTGAATTCCTGTCTCTGTCTTTTCTTCAATGAAATAAACCCTTTGGTAGTTATTTTGGTGTTAAAGGTAAGCAAAATCAGGCTGTTAAAGACCATCTTTTGTCCAAAATATATGATGAGAAAGTAAGGTTGAGAGTGTTTTCTAATTTGTTTCCACTGTGATCTTGGACTTTCTCATTAATCAATTGCCTGCTGACTTTTTTCCAGTTTCCTTTTCTTGCCAGAAAGAGCCAAAACTTCATTACAGAGGTATTAAGAGAAAATGGCACTGTATGAGAATAGAATCAGGAATTCCCCTGTATTGTTTTATGCTACCAAAACTAAATGAACACTGGTATAAGAAGAATAGATATTTCCTTAAAATACTATTGTTAAGAAATTAGGCCCATCAAGTGATGGCATGTCTAGGGAAACAACTTATCTTGGCACTGTATTTCAGCAACATCACATTAACTGAGAGGTATAGAAAAGTCACATGGTAGTTACACAAATCATAACACAATAGCAAAATTAGGATTATACATTAAAACATTTCTTTTCTCTTTAGTCTTCATTTAGGTGAAATCATAGCTCCCATTGGCTGATGTATTTTATCTTTATCTCATTTTCTCCCAGAATTTATTAATATTTGTATTTTGCATTGTACAAGTAAGTGTACAGGTTGCAAAACAAGTGGATCTATGAATAAAAAATGGGAGACTGGCTTTAGCTCTATTTCTGCATGTGGACATTTTGCCTATTGTTCTTAACAGTTTACAGTTTAGTTATCCAGATTTGGTGCTACAAAGGAAAAAATTGCTGAGAGCAGATGTTGAATGTTTTATGTCAGATATGCAGGATTCATTTGCTAAAAAAGCATTTCTACTGAAAAAATGTAAAATCTTTAGGGATGTGCGTGTGTGTGTGTTCTCTTCCTGGGAGAAGGGAACAAAACATCAAAAGCATTCACAGAAGCTATAAAATAAATAAGCTTTTACAAATGTATATGTAATCAAATTAGTTTCTACAATATGATGTGTAACAGGTACTTCAAATAATTAACTTCAGCCTAATTTTCTGAAAGCTACCTCTCATAAGTTAGTCTAAAGTTCAGATAGAGAGGGATAAAAGGAAATCTATTACATTTTTAAAGCAAATATGTCTCTCAAAGAAGCTAGGAATATACAAATATATCTGGTTTGACTGATCAAAGTTCTATTCACTGTATCTTCAAAGGGAGAAAAGTAAAATCAAGCTTTACTGTATTAACATAGACTACAAATTATGAAAAAGCTCAAACGCTGCTTCATATTGAAAAAATCCCCTGTAATATTAGTTTATCAACATTTATCAAACTTAAGCAAAATCAGGGAAAGTAACAGTAATAAAGATCAGAAATCAGAAAACTTGCAGTGACCAAGTCAGACACCTGACAGAGAAGAGCTTTCCAGCCAATTGTTGAAAAGAGCTTTGTTTAATATAGTGGCAACTTTAATAATATAGTGGCAGCCTTTTGTGTTTCTGGCAACTCTGAGAAATACAACACAATTCTGATGTGGGAACCTGTGTTCAGTCTGAAGAAAATTCTCTTCATAAAATGAGATACAATGACAAGTAAAAATGCATCTTTCTTCTCACCAACATCATTGTCTTGCTGGAATTCAGTTTTGTTTACTTGCCTTGTAAGTTGCCAACAGTTATAATTCTATCACTGTTCTAATATTATAATAGCATTTTAAAGCCTTGGACTTCTGGAACTGCTAAAAAAGCAAATATAAAGCCTCATTATTGCAGGATAAATTTAGAAAATGTAAGTTCTAAAGGTTCAAAGGGAAGTAAATAGAGTTTTTAGTAGTGGTAGAAAAAAACCTAATTTGCTTTTACATTTGACTGGCTAGAGATTGTTCATTTTAAAAAGCAGGATTGCTAGAGTTCATATAGATATTTTCAATTTTTACTGAAGAGTTGACTGGTTCTAATAATTTACCAATTTTTTTATCTGTTTACCAAATCTGATCACCAGAGGATTAATTAAAAAGCAAAATTTCATGCATCTTGTTAGCAAATATCCAGTTTTGGGGGTGGTGGTGCTTTGGTGTGTGTTTGTTTGTTTGTGGGGTTTTTTTGGTTGGTTGATTAGGGTTTTTCTTTTTTAACTTGGGCATTCTAAAATTTGATCTTCCTGGGAAACTTACCATACACAGGTTGCTGATTTCTGTGATATATTGCAGGCACACACAATGTTAATGACTTCTCTTCTGTTTTTATTTCTAAGGTTTGTCGAGTTGCCTATGAAATTATGCAGACGTTGCATCCAGATGCTTCAGCATATTTCCATTCTTTGGATGATATCTACTACTTTGGGGGACAGAATGCTCACAACCAGATTGCTATTTATGCTCATCATCCACGAACTGCTGATGAAATTCCCATGGAACCTGGAGATATAATTGGAGTAGCTGGAAATCACTGGGATGGTTATTCAAAAGGCATCAATAGGAAATTAGGAAGAACAGGCCTGTACCCATCCTATAAAGTTAAGGAGAAAATTGAGACAGTCAAGTATCCTACATATCCAGAGGCTGACAAGTAGATTAAAAGGAAGACATTCAGCAGTAATTCTCCATTTTGATTGGTTCAAACCAGTCAACAACACACTAACTAATGGTTTATATGGGATTTGAATTTGCATTTTAACATGGAGTTAAAATCAAAGCCTTTGCAATGAAACTGGATAAGAAGCTGAGAACAAATGGATGGGCTATTATCTGAACTTACTCTTAAACATTTTTGTTATATGCACTCTCACACATGCACACACAAACCCACATATAACAGGAAAACTGTTGTTTTATACTTTTTGTCTCTTTTCAGGATTTATCCCAGTCATTAGTTTTACATGAGCTTTGGGCTCTTCTCTCTGCCATTAATTGACAATAATGTTCAGACTTATAACACTGCCACATTGTGTAATATGAGTGACATGAACATATTTTGTATGTGCAAAATTTAAAACATGGTGCCTATATTTGAAAAGTTTGTGACCTTTTTAGAAGAGCCATGCCTATTTCACAATGGGCAAGAGTCAACTTTCATCTGGTGTTACCGTGACCACTGAACTTGCTTCAAACAAGATTCAGATTTCAGAGTAGATTTCTTTACAAGTTTGTTGTTTGTTTTTTTTTTTTTTTTTAGCATTTCATTGATCACTTCTCATCATTAATAAAATAAAGGATAAATTCAACAATAAAATAGTCACTGTCTGTTAGGAACTTTTGTAAACAATGCCATGAACAGATTCTTTAATAGTGATAATATTTCTGAACGTTGCTTTTGACTGAAAAAAAACCCCCAACAACCCCCCAAACCCACAAAAAAGGGAAAAAGTAACTGGAATTTCATTGAATTTTAAAACACTTATGTAGTAAAATAATTGTGTAGTGGCACAGTGCTGCTCAGTTTTGTGGACAGTAGGTAACAGCAGGCTGACTTCAGCAACTAAATTTCTTATATTTACTCTTTAGCACTATTTTTTTACCTTCTATGTTTCTCTTCTGAAATTAATCCAGATTTTAGGGTATTATAGGTGGTCTCTTATCTTTTTGGCATTGAATGTAGTTACTTTGAAGTAAAATACTTCAGGTTATCCCATTTATAGAACCCATCAATCTGGACTACTTTAAAAAATTTCCCCCAAAAATAGTAGGTTTGAGGAAAATATACACAAGGATGAATTTTTATGCATGTCATGAGGTTGTTAGTAATTCTTAGTGTTCTGAAATCTTTTGCTAGTCAGCTCTCTATTAAGAAAAGACAATTCACAAAACAATTTTACAAACAAATTTATAGATTCAGGAGTTGTGTGTATATATATATGTATATATACAGAATATGCAAGATAACAAGAGATTGTTTCCAAATAAGAAGAATATTAATAGCCTTTTATAGGTTCTAGTGCAATCCAGTCTGGATTACTGGAAGTGCAGACAATGTTTACTGTTCAGGGATTGAGAAAATGCCACGTGAATAAAGATTAAAAGAGTGTGGCTGGTTGACCTAACAAAGCAAAAATATATTTAGCTATATTTATGAATAGATGAAGGACTGTGTTAACATAGTGAATGGAGGTGCTTGACCATTAATAAATGTTAGGCTGAAAAATAAAAGGAAATCTCTGGCAGTGTGAAGTTCAGCAGCAGGCTTCCAATGAAATAGTGGTGAAATGGAGCTGGATTGGTATGTGAAGGAATTACAAAGTGGTACTCTGACATTACTTGCAGGAGTGATCCCATAGATCCGTTCCAGTAATGTGATCCTTAACTGAAAAACTGCTTTGTGTCTTGAAAGAGAGTAACAAAATCTAAGTTGAATACTTCTGCGGGGAAAAAAAGATACATTGATCGTACTATTAAATAGACGTCATAGTAAAAATGAGCATAGATACCAAATGAGACTTGAAGACTGATTGAAGGATAATGGCAAATGAGTAAGAATGACCAAGAAATGCTAAAGATGATGAATTTTCGTGATGAAAGATGCCTAGGGTTAACTGGTGTTTCTGTATCTTGGAACTAGAAGTGGTTTCATGTTAGTTTCCTGTCTTAAGTGATTCTGATAAATTTTCCACTAACTTAGGCAAACATGGAATTTCAGAGTTAAGGTAGGCTAAATTATAATTTTTAAAAAATTTTATTTTGAATTGTACAAGTAAAGTTATTGCTACTTTCTTTTTCAATTTGAAAAAAAATAATCCAGACTCATGCACGTTTCTTCCTCAACAATTAAATCAATTTATTATATCTTTGTGAAAACTAATCTAATTGTTTCTCCACAAATACTATGTTATCAGTTTGATATTTATAGATATTGAAAACGTTTTATTTTTTATGCTCTTTACTTATGACTTCAGAGCTCATAATTTCTTGCTCATTTCTTAGAGTATGATTCACAAATAAATGAACATATGAAAATTCCTCCATAGTCAGGTAACTTAATTGAAAATACCACTAAAGAAGATAAATAACACAACATCTAGGATGAGTCTAAAGGCAAGAGCAGATCTTCTGATATGGCAGTGAGAGAACTGAAAACACTGATGTTATAGAAGATGTACCTATACAATGTGGCAATTCCTCAGCAGACTATATCTGACAAAGTACTGGCAAGGTACACATGCCTCCTTACATATTCTGAGTACCTAAGAAATAACTAGGTCATCATCTTTGAGAAAATGATCATGAAATGATACAAAATTATAGAATTACTGTTAATAATTCAGAAATGTACTAATGTAGATGCTATGATCTTATTCCCTTGGGTAGTATGATCCTGTAATGCTTTTACTTCAGTACTTCTCAGAGGAAGAAATCTAGCAATACTCTGCTTGCTAGATGCATCTATTTCTAGAGATTTCTTTCAGTTAAGACTACCGATTAATTATGTCTTGAAATCCTGGGACATTGGTACACTAAAACTGAATTTGTTTTACATTAAACAAAATGAATATTTGAGACTTTATTCTCGGTTACAGTGGAGTCCAGGTAACATGTAACATCCATGGGTAAGTGGAAGAGAGAACCCCAGATTTTAACTGTAGCTCACAGAAAAGTGAAATAACAGAAGATAAAAATTTTGTCTTTAATACCTGAAAGAAAGCTGAATCTTTTGAAGGTTGTGAACTCATTAAGATACTAGCCAGAATGCTTGCAGGGAAGCAAGTGTACATCATGTTTCTTCTGTTTGCCTTGTAGCTGTGCAACAGTCCAGTCATGTAATTTTTGCCTCATACCAAACCACCTTCTCAGACATCCATAAAACAAAGAACTTTCATACTCTCTTAACTACTGTTTAATTAAACTTTCCTCTTTAAGAAACATTTGTATTCGTGTGTGTGCATGTTGTGTACATAAAAACAATATGAACAGCACTCTTTTGTTCTTTGCTATTTTACATTATCACTGTCACATTCTCTGTAAAAACTTACTTGCCAGGTAAATGTAGTCTCTGGAAGCTGAATATTCTACATGCTGCTTACCAGTCAAGAAATTTATTCTGAGTAGTTCAGTTAACTAGTCTTCTGTGACAGCGGTGCACCTGGGGTCATCATCTGAGGTTTGCTGCTACCACCAACCTGAGTTCTGTCCTTGATTTGGCCTGTGGTCAAAATGCATGGGGTTTACAAGCCTTCTCTACCAACATCCTGCCCATGTGAACTGTTGAGTGTTATGGATTTGCTTATGAAGGATCATGTTTTATTTAAAATTTTTAAAATATTTTTAAGTGTTTATCTTCAGATAAGTCTTTTGTTTATCCCATCTATCACTGAATTTTAAGGAAACTTGAAGGAAACCATTGAATTTTAAGGAAACCAGAAAGATTTCTCTCCTAATTCAGTTTTTCAGAAAGGAGAAGTGGTGATACCTTTCTTACAGAGATGTTCACAATGTAAAAGTTTCCTCCATAACAGGTTTTATGTTTCTTTGGTATGCAATTATAAAGTAAGGATCTTGTCTTCTGAGCTAGGAACATAATAGAAAATAAGTAGAACATTTTTGTGAAAAATTCTTGATAAGGGGAGGTTTTCTTTCATGCAAGTGGAGTAGCACTTACCTTTTGGAACCTTTTCCAAACAGTGAATTGGGCTCGTTTTTTCCTGGTCGTTTGTATCTTCACAATGTAATCTCTAGTGTGTCTGAGGAATGCAGGCAAAACCAATTTGCTTAGTCTGGGAGATGGGAAGGAGAGAATCTAATAAAAAAACACAAATAAGCATTTCAATACTGGGTTAAGGACCTCTGCTAGTGAAATCAATCTGCGCTTTGCCAGAAATACTTAGAATTTGCTACCTTCCTTTTGATTTTGCCTAATACAACTCCCAGTCACATATATCAATGTCATGCTGGTCATATCCTGATTGTTGGTTGGTACTGTGTATATTACAGTTTTATTCCTATTTTGGTGGCTTGGGATCAGGTTGTCAAAGGGCAAAAGGTTGTGTGGCTTTCTTATATTGAAGTAAAACTGCATTTTAAACTCACAAAAATTCCATTTCCCTAAGATGACACTAGAATTGTTATTGTAGTCTACAGACTTTTGTCAAGGTCCTCTATATGTACCTGCAAGCATATCTGGAGCAAGACTGAAGCAAAGAAAGTTATGTATGAATATCAACTGTATACAGGTTGTGTTAGACTTCATAGTATCCTGTTCATGTCTAAAAAGCATGAAATGTGGCACTGCACGATACAAATAAGAGGATAGTATAAAATTCCCAGATCTGCAAAAAAAAGTTGCTAGTTCTGTTTGAATGCATCACTGGTTGCATTCACTGTGTACAAAATTATTCCAGAATCTAAATATGTAAGACAGAAGTCTTTCAGCATTACTAAAGAATCCCATCCACTGATGTGTTCACGCCTTTTGGTACCATGTTTGCTGTTCAGTGGAATTCCTCTGTGTTGTGTGCTTGTTTCCTTTGACTCATCTTGTCAGCAGAATCCTATTGCCACTGCAAATCAAGCAGGTTTGGACTAGAGCAAAGTCACGACAATGTTTGCACAAAGATGTCTTTGCCGTTGCTCAAAATTAACTTCACACTCTTAGGCTGACGCCTTAGGAAAGGCTGTTGAGGGAAGGAGCTATCTCCACTGGACTATACATGTTTTATAACTACTGGCACACACATGTACTGGTTTTACATTCAGTTTTGCATTATTTTCTCCCTTCATACAGACTTGAGATTTTGCTTTCATTTTGGTGTATTTATGAAAGGTTTTCTGAAGCATGGTGAGATAAAGTCTCAACTATCCTGCATAGACCTTCCCCCATTTCCTCTAACTGCCCTAAAAACATCCTTCAGTTGCACCATTTTAATAGAATCAGCTAGATCTATGTTTCCCGAAGACTATGGAATTTTTTTACTCTTCCCATAGCCCTGCTGCGTACTTGCATCTGATCCTGACCTACCTTGGTTGTAGGAACCTTTGTCAAACCTTTCTTCTTTGCATATTTTAATTTCCTTGCCTAATGGTCATTACTTGACTGAGAGTCCAAGAGGTAACAAGTGTCTGTATTTGTTTTTTCATAATAACATTGGAAATTGTATTAATGGCAGATTATTTTTTTAATGAATTGCATTTTTTTTGTTTTGTCCTTAATTGGTATAGTCAAGGATTCAGAGTAAACACTCAGTGCCTGAGAAGTGTTTAGGGGGCTTACAAGACATAGAAATTTCTTATTTAATCACGTTTACAGCTCATAGCATGACAAGTATCTTGACTAGATGAAAGATGTATGGCATTCCCTGCTCATTTTTGCCTAGTGCTTGAATTATACACTTATGCTTGCAGCTTAGTTTGCAGGAGACACAAAGTGAATGCTGTCTTTTTACAGGACCATATGGATAATTTTCTTCTCTTCAACCTTATTTTAGCTTGGTTTTAGTGTTCCTGCTCTCTGGCAAGTTTAGTGGTTTTTTTTGTTTGGTTGGTTGTTTTTTTCCTTTGTTTTTTGTTATGATTTGTTTGGGTTTTTTTGTGGGGGGGGTTTTTTGTTTGTTTGTGTGTGTGTGTGGGTGGGTTTGTTTTGTTTTGTTTTGTTTTTTATTGTTGTTCTTGGTTTGGTTTTTGTGGGGTTTTGTTTGGTTGTTTTTTTATAATACAGTTGCAGTATTCTCAATTACTGCACTGCAAACAGAGCCACAAGGATATTACAGCCCAGCTGTGAGAAGCCACTGAATGTTAAGATTGCTGTGCAATTCAACTGTCTACAAAAGAAGCCCAAGTATGTTTGTTGATACATTTCTGGAAGAGTGGAAGGAGATCAAAAACCAGGACATCCTACTTTGTTCTTTGTAAATGGGAAGGAATTGGGCCTGCGTTGTGTCTAACGCAGATGCTGGAAAGCAATTAACTAGTTGGTGGAAGTAGTTTGCTTCTCTACTTCAGCTTATTGCTGGAGAATGAACTGAGACAAGTTTATAATTCTAAATCTGTGGCCAGTTTGTAACATCTGTAAAATTTTGTTTTCACTTGAGAATAAAATTGTTATACACAATAAGTTCAGACTTGCGGGATGGAGTTCATTGTGCATTAGCATTTCTTCAAATGATTGTTGCTTATGACTATTATTCAATTATTCAGCAAAGATAGAAAAGTCTTGTTGGGCTGGCTTGACCGTTTTTTTAACCTCTACATCAGTAGAGATTATGCAGAGGCTAGCACTAATGAACTTCATGTAACAGATTTAGATTTGATGGATTTGTTTGCTTACTTGTGTCTTTTGTTTATATACAACAGAGAAAAATGTTTTATTAATACTACAGAAGGATAGTTACAATGCATCTACCTGCTCAAAATGTATTTCTTTAGGGCTGCTAATGTGTTATGAGCTACTCTTTATTACACTCATTCATATTAGCTGATGTTTGTATGTTTCTGAATGTTATTGATAGCAAATTTGTATGTTTGGTTCTGAAACAGCACAGTGATTTAAGAAATTATGTTGTGTACTTTTTTTGCTCTCAGTCCTTCTCTTGGAAGTTAATAACTGACCATGCATATGCTGAATCTATTCCATTGTGAATTAGAACAGGTTCATAATCATACTGATTGGTTTGGTAAATATTAGTCAATGAGAATTTTGGCAGTAAGCTTGAATGTATATCCTTTATTTCTGTGCTTTTAAAATTGAATGTGGGAGAGTAAGTGTAAGGACCATTGGAATAATGGGCTTTTCTCACCTTTTGCTGAACTGTCTAGAGCTTACTGATGCCTGTTTTCATTCTCAAGAAAACACATTGTAGGAATATGCTCTCAAGATAAGATGCATACACAGTTATATATCTCATATGAAGGGATAAAATCTGTTGAAGAGTCTGGAGAAACCTCCAGAAGATGAGGATGTGAGCAAGGTAATGGTTGGCTTGATATGAAGGTGTTTATCTGCCGATGTGATTACTGGAGGTCTTGTTATTTTTCTCTTCTTGGGCTGCCCCTTAAGGATTCATTTAACAGACATACCTTATTTTGTCATGACTTCATGCTGGATGGACATTGGTTCCAGAACATTCTGTTCCTTTCTAATAAGATGCATCTTAATAAAGATGCTCTGCTATACTATCTCTGTAGTAAAACAGTTTGGAGTTTTTCAGTGCAGTGCTGTTATTCCCTCTTCAAAGTTTTGCTTAAGGGGTTTCTTTTTAGTAAAACCACACACAATGGTTGAAAAAAAGGAAATAAAGTCATTCTTTACTGATTTGAGTCTGATATGCTTTGCTGGCATACAAATCTACAAGGTAGATTTTAACTTCTCTTCTGCAGCAAGTAGCTTACTACTGTTGTCTGTAGATGACAGTTTGATGCTGAAAGTAAGCTTTAAGGCTCTGCAAAATATTTCTGTCTCTGGTTGCTGTCTGAGAAAGAGGGGTGACCCCTCCTGACAGTAGGCATATGGCGTCCATAAGAACTAGGTAGGGCTAATTCCAAGTGATACAAGTTTTTTCTGCCAACATTGTCACTCTTTTGCCTAGGTCTCTTTTATCCAGCTTTGCTTTGTTTTAAAAGTTATCTTGCAGTGCAGACATACAAGGCAATAGTTTTGGCTGATTGAAAGGGAATTCTAAATGACTTTTCTAAGCGTGCTGCTAGAACAAGGCACAACAATGTCCATTAATCTCTTCGTTTATGCAATATTTTCTCCAGCAAGTTCTCTACCACTGGTGCCAACTTAATTTTTTATTTTCCAACTGATTGCCTCCCTGTCTCTTCTTATCTACAGTGGCCTTCTACTCTGTTCACGTAGATCTCAAAAAAACCCTGCATATGCACAAAAAATGAAAACAGAAAGTGAAATGCAAAGAAGTTATCACATCTGATTTTTTCATCAAATTTTGTCTTCTGTATATCACATTTTTGAATTTAAGTTCTCAGAAGAAAAAAAAAAAAGTAAATTTCGTTTTTGTTCAGACTTCTTAGTCCTGAAACAATAGACAAAAAGGTTTCTAGGAGTAAAACTTTTCCAAAACCAGTAGGTCATTTAGGCCTAACACAAACATGATAAAAAATACAAAGCTCATTAAGTTCCTAAAAGTAGAACTGCATGGAAGATTGCTCTGAATGCCAGAGTAGAAATACACAGGATTATAATTTGTTTTTCCCCTGGTTTTCTCCTGTTGGTTTAACAGCTCATCTGAGTTGCTGCTTATCTGTGACAAATTGGCATTAATTAGCATCTGTGGAAACTGGACAGACTCTTCAGTGTGCAGACTGCATCTCAGAACAACCATATGAAAGTTTATCTCGAGACATTTTTAATCTTAATACAAAATTGCCTTGATATTCTGTTATACTATTTAATGTTTTTGCATCTTGAGGTTTTCAGATAACCACTAGTGGGTGGTATGTAACATGAATGATAGAACTTCAAGTATATCCATCTGGAAGGTGTAGGAACAGCTGTTCGTGCATAAGGCAATATGCTGATATGTCAATTAATCATTTTGATGTCACAGGATGTACAAAGTGATCACTGTTTACTGCATAGCCGTATGGCTAGCAAATGATTTGTGAAATCATTGTCCATTTTAACTGAGGTGTTTTTATTAAAGAACAGTGGCTATGACTAACAACGTTTCCTTATTTTAGTTTGAAGTCTCTTGCTTGTTTATTATGGCACACACTCAATGACTGAATAATAAAGTGTGTGAACTACATTTTACTACTGGACACAGGTTCAAAGGGTAGTTGGATCCCATCCAGATCACTTAAATTAAGAAAAGAACATGTTACTGGACAAAAATGCTCATATTGAGTTCAGTGAAAAGTGTCTGATCTGGAGTCTTCAAATTTTGTCTGGGTAAGATTTAGTTTTCGAAGTAGTGTGCGTGGGGAACAGTGCCCATGTTTTCTCATTATTAGTATTTGAGGAATTTTATGTTGCTGATCTCAGAATTCCTGACATATGTCAAGATTCTCTTTGTTTATGACAATATAACAGCAGTATGCTACAGAAGCAGACAAGAGTGTTTCAAGTTCCAAAATACTTTTTCCTTCTGTATACAGTATTTTTGGTGCTCTGGAATGGATGCATGCGTGCATCATCAGATTATCATGTCAGTGCTGAATTTAAGTATCTCTAGCATGCTTGCAACTGGAGAAAATGTTTTTCCAGGAATCACAAGAGGAAATTCCCTAGATGAGTGATCCTTATTTCCAGCAGTAGCATCGATTAGCTACTTATCTGCAATGAAGGGAAACAAGCCTCTTTTTCAAAGCTTGGAATCCATGTTTGCCTGAGGATGAAGTTAGGTAAAGCACTTTATACTGGCAATTTCTTCGTAAAAAAGACAAACAGAGTTCACAGGGTAGTTCAAATTATCTGCTCATTTTCTGGGAAAAAATGGTAATTTTTTGACTGGTGACAAAGTGTTAGTTTCACGCTGTAACGTTTTTCAGCAGTATCTGGTAAGGTTGCTTTTGTATGCATTTCTGACCTATCCAGGCTGTGTTCAAGAAAAGGTTAATTTGAACATCAGGAAAAATATCTTAAAAAAGAAAAGGAAATAAAAGGGGGGGTGTGTTTGTTTGTTTAATTGCATCTTATGATGATAATGGCTGTAGTTTTCCTTGTAAGCTTTGGAGCACTCCCAGGATTTACTTCATGAAAGCAATTAGATTCTTCTGTCCTTTAAAAAGCAGTATCCTTTGTCTTATACTTTAATAAAATTTCTAAAATTTTATCTTTGCAATATTCTTCATGCATGTGTTGTCTATCTTTTTGTGATAAATATGTTTTTTAAGACTGCAGTAGCTAGAACAGACTTTTGGAAGTTTTGGTATCAGAACCCCCTGAGATACATGTGCATAATCTCTGTGTTTCATCATTATAGAGTTTCAATTAAATCCTAACCAAAGCTTCTGAAAATACTGATAAATATACAGTGCTCAGGTGTAATAATGGCTTAATCTTGACTTGGTTTTGAATAAAGTTGTTCAAATTTTGTCTCTTTTAAGAGTCTGATAAGTCTTCTAGTTTGCACCAGAAAATGTCACACTAGATATGAGTGGAGTGCAGTGCTGTGACTGGTCAAAGACAGAAGTGCCTGGTGTAATTCCAGCATGTCCAAAAATTTTCACCAGATTTTCTCATTGGCAAGTGCAAAAAAATAACATAGACTTCTCTGAAATCTTTATCTGAAGTATTTTGAACAAGCATTGTTCTGAGTATGTTTTCTAGTTAGTCATTCCTTCCATCAGTACTGAAAAAGGACTGATTTCTTACCTCATTCATTTATTGTTTGGGATAAAATAACAATTGAATACTCAGGTCAAGAAAGAGAAAAATTAATTGCCTCTGTCTAACAGATTTACCTTGGTAACATGCTGTTCCCCAAGGTATTCCATTTTTTTTTCAACTTTCCTCCTTGCTTCATATTCCTGTGTAGCTTACAAAGTCCATAATGATAAAGAATTCCTTTACACGATGCATAAATGGCTGAAGTGTACTTATGAACTGAAGGGTCTCGATTTCTGACTTTGGGTGCAGGAGTGCATGCCCAGCCCCAGTGGAATGCACATTACAGCAACACATCAGGAAAAAAATAAGACACTTTAGGAGTGTGTAGTTGTCTTACATATTTATTCTACTCTTGGGTTTGTGGTGTTGTGGGTGTTTGAGTTATCAACCACTGCACTCTAGGACTGTAATAGCTCTTTTTAAGGGTTTAAGAAAAGAAAAACAGAACACTCCTCTGCCAGTTATTTCCCTCACAGTCATGTTTAAGAGATGTTTATTAGCAGTGCTTTTAACTATAGTTCCCAAATTCATTGTGACATTTTTCAGTTTTAGCCATCACTGACTTAAGATTGTTTATCTATGTTCTAGAATGGGTATGTATATCATTCTATCTATGTTATTTTAGACTGTATTTTGCAAGAATGTTGTTAGAGCAGACTGAGTGCTTTTATGGGAGAACTTGAGTCACTCAGTTTAGGATTTATTCCCTTATTACAGGTATTTACAAACAACAGTGACTACCCTGAATGTGCAGATAGCAGTGTAAATGATGAATCTTTGTTCCCATTTAGCCCCAATCCTTTTGGTTCCAAGATCCCTATAGCTTTATAATTTGATCTTACTGGAACTGGAGCCTGCTCAATTATTTTCTTGAAAGCAATGTTAGTTTTCTTTTTTTATTAAATTAAAAATTATATTATCATGAGGTCCCAGGGAGACCTGAACTGCGAGTCTCATGATATTGAACTAGATACAAAGTTTGGCTCAGAGAAATTGCAGTGATTCTAGCACTACTGCAAAATCTTGTCTCCATTAGTACCAGCCATCCACTTGCTGTAGCTATTACTGCAATGTAGTCACGTCGCTGAGAGAAGTTACAGAAGTCCCTCTCTGGCTCAGCAGAATTAAACTGTGCAAATTAGTGAAACTCAGAGAGTTTCACTCAGAGAGTCTTACTTTGAGAATTTAATTACTTGAAGGTCAAAATTAATTTAATCTTTACTCAAGTTTAGGGAAGATGTGCTAAATGCAACTCAGCTAGCAGTTTGCTTTGTTGTACTATAAAAATCTCACGTCCAGCACTGTTCCATATATTCTTGTGGTTAGAGAAGAAGCCCCAGAAATTTGTTTTCCATATGGTTATATCAATAGCTTGTGCATACGTGAAGCTCGAATTGCAGTCTCTTGGTGGAGACTGCACTTAGACAATATGGTATCAGAGATGGTAGTTGAAACCTAGTGTTATGTTTAATGAGACCCTTGGATTTTTGCATGTATTTTTCAGGTGTCTACAATAAAAATTGAATGTTAAGCAGTCTCATGTGAAGAAAGGGAATTCAGGAAACAAGAGGGAGACAGAGGCATCAATCCCTTAACCATACTTATCTTTAGGCACAAAGTGCATAGCATTCTGGTGACTGAGACTAATTATGGATGAAGAAAGCTGTTAATATTTTTAGTGAATAAAATGTCTAAAATAAATTTTGATTTATGACGTGAGGTATGTGTAACCTCTATGCATGCTGAACTGTCCCTGTAGGTATGGTTGTAACTATCTATTGCAGCTTGCTAATTTCTTCTCTGAAGTTGTAACAATCTGTCTCATATTCAGATTGATTTACCATTTTTCCAGTATAATTTATTCGACTGCATTATCATTTATGCATACTATGGTTCTCTCTTTATTTCTTTATTTCTTTATTTTCTCTCTTTATTTCTTTATTTTCAGTTGACCCTTATCAACTTCTCTAGAAGTTGACCCTGATAAGGCTGTAATGGCTGGGAAATGTGCCTAATTTGAGCATATATTCTATGACTCTAATTGTCTTAAGTGTTATGAATAAAACTGTCATCAGGTGGTGATCTCTGTTTGCAATTGCCCTGACATCATTTAGATTTAGTTAGTGGCAGGACTAATTCTCGACTCCCAACCTGCCAGTGTGTAATACAAGCCTTAAAATCAGTGAAACATGTTTGAGTTCGTACTGTGTCATCATTTATTGACTGTGCTAGTTTATTTTTTCAAGGTAGCATTCATATATTAGGAATGAGATTGTGAAATCTAGACTGAATTGCATGTGCCAGGTAAAAGCACAAAGCATTTAAACCACTCTTGCATGCTTGGATCCTGATTTTATAGAAATGAAACACGTCAAAGAGGAGGAAGAATTCTGAATCCTGAAGATTAATTGATAGTGCACTCTCTTGCAGCTAAAAAGTCCTTGTAGCTGGTTTTGATCCTTATTTTTTAATGGCCTTAAGTGGTTCAACTCATTTAGTTTGAAAGGGAACTTATGTTTAGGTTTCAGCTTCCAAGAGGGCTTAGCTGATTTTTGTATTATTACATTTTACCTTGTTAATTAAAGGCACAGATATGCATTCCCATTTCAGCACATATTAAACCCCTCTTGGAGAATGATTCCCCCCAGCATCACAGCTCAGAGAAGCAGGTGTGTGACTAATGTTCAGTGAGGATGAAAACATTTTGTGACACATGCTCAAACAAAAAAGAAAACATAATCATTATTGCTGGATAATTATAAATTAATACAGTTTTGCTTGAATAGTGCTTTAATCCATAAGTGCTAGAGGGTAGTAGAACTGTAGAAAAAGACTATTTCTCAATGGTCTGCTACCTGTACTCGAGTCAATTATTCAGTCAGACATAGTTCAGATAGTTTTTATGCACCAGGTAGGGTAACAACAGCAATTTAACCATAGTAAAATGAAAGTTGTCATAGCCTGATTACACTTTCATTCAGTGTAACCCTACATTAAACACACCTACACAACACTGAGGTCCTAACTGTAGGTGCACATGAAAAAAAAAATTACTGTTGACTGCATTTAAGAGCTTGGTAGTTGCTCTTTTGAGAATATGTCTTGAAGACAAAGATTAATGTAAGATATTTTTTTCCTTTTATACCCCAATGGCTATCAAGCCTAATAAAAGCCGTTTGGACCATTCAAATAAGGCTACCTAGTAGTGCTTAAATGCTAATTAAAGAAACTTATCATCTGGAATGGGGAACTTTATTGAAGTCAGTTCACAATTTTAGCCTTTTCTGCTGACAAGCTATTATATTCTAGAAATGATAGGTTAATTAACTTACCATAGCCATGGGGGAGGTACTGTTTGCTTTGTTTGTCCTTGAAAGAAAAACAGCATCTTAGCAGATAAACTTAACAATCTGTCCTGTGAAAAAATCCTAAGTCAGTGTGCTCTTTGAAAAATGGAAAGTTTCTCACGTCTGTTTACTTGTGACAACTATCTCTGTAAAAACTAAATTTTAAGGGAGATTTTGAGGATATTTAATGAATGATTTATTTTGAATTGAGTAGAATCTTTATGTTTATACTTCATTCTCCTAGGACTCTTCCAAAGATAAGGTGTGATAGATAAAATGTTTTCTTTTTGTTTGCTACCTGTCATTTTTGACCTGTTATGCCTTGTTGGTGGATCCCTTTTAAGATAAATCTTTTTAGCATGCTCCCTTATCCCTGTTTTTAAGTGTTTGGATGCTCGCTATTTGAATAATGTTGAGATTATTCTAAGAATAATCAATTCTCAGAAAAACAATTTGCTGCCGAACAGAAAATCCTATAGAAGGGATATTTTTGGGTGTTTTGTTTGTTTGTTTTTTTGTGGTTTGGTTTTTTTTTTTCCCCCCTAGACAAAGTCTGTTTTCCACTTTGCCACAGAAGGGTTCAATTTCTGTCATACCTTTTATTTTTCCCCCAGTTTTTAAATACTTATTTAATTTTTATTTAAGCCATACAGCTCTCCTGCAAAGCACTGCAATATTACTTTCCTGACAAGGACAAGACTCTTCTTAAAAGATACTCCTCTCCATAGCATTAAGTGAGGAGCCCACTGAGGTAACATAATTTGAGCAGGATAATGCTCTCTGCACTATTAAACACGGAGAGTTTAATTCCTGATCATAACCTCAGACCAGAAGCAATGAAGGTGCTAATCAATTTTCCATCTTTATTCTCGTCCACTCAAATGGTATTGCAGTGAACGTATTCCAGAAGTTTCACAGAGTCTGTGTTGCAGTTTCTGATCATTGTATTCATCATTCAGATTAATCTGACATAAAACAGGATTAGCACAATCCCCATTCAAGGTTAATTCAGACAGCTACTGTGAGTACTGGTATATTCAGTCATCTTTGACAGGATCAACAGTCATACCTGCCTGAATTTAAAATGGAAATGTGTTCTGTGAGACTTCTATTTCTCACCTGTCTCTGAAACCAGTGGAAAAGACAGGGACAAGGAAGATTTACCGTTGTTGAAGGAGGGTTAGTTTAGGGAAGATTTGAACAAACTGTGTGTATGCAAGTCCATGATCACACCTGACTCAGCAAGTGCTGATAGAATTGGCTGATGTCATTGTGAGGTTACTCTTAATTGGTTTTGAACTGTCATTGTGTTTGGGGGAGATTCATAAGAGCTAGAATAAATCAAATGTCATCCTTATTTTCAAGAAAGGCAAGAACAAGGATTTTGGGAGCTACAAACTGCCCAGCCTTGCATCAGTCTCTGGGAGGTCATGGAGCTGCTAATCGGGGAAACAACTTCTAAACATAGTCTTGCTCAACCAACCAGACAACCTGGAAGGTTGACTGGCTCAGCAGAGAGGAAAGCTGTGAACTTTGTTTGTCTTGGTCTTAGTAAGGCTTTTGACAGACTCTGAAATGCATCCTTGAGACAAACTTATGAAGTAAGCTATGACTAGAGAAGTAGACAGTGGGGTGGAGTGAAAATGAGCTGATATGCTGAACTCAAAGGTTTTTTATCAGCGGCATGAAGTCTGGCTGGAGTCTGGTCACTGATGATGTATCCAAGAGCCTAGGACAGTTCAACATCTTCATTGATGACTTGGCTGATGGGGAAAGAGTGCGCCTCAATTTTATAAGTGACACAAAATTGAAAGGAGGGGCTGGCAAGCCCTGCTATTCAAAAGGACCTCGACAGGCCAGAGAAATGGGCTGACAGGAATTTGATGGAGTTTAACAGAGAGGGGTGCCAAGCCCTGCACCTGGTGAGGAACAACCCCATGCAGTGACCATGAATAAAATTAAGGTATTCAAAAATCTGCTATGCTGAATGAGCTGGAATTTTTCATCCTGGAGAAGACTTGTGGGGAAGGAATCTTATCAGATATTTAAATGTAAAAAGAGTATCCTCCTTAACCAAGAGGCACACAATGAGGTCTGTCTGTGCAAGTATAAGAAAGACCTTAACAATCTAGAAGATCTTTCAAAAATAGGCTGGAAAAGTTGCTGAATCATTGTAGGACATTTGTTGAGAACAACGTTAGCGGTGGCTTCTTCCTACTCTGTAAGCATAGCAGCACGTTGTAAGCCCTTGTGTTTCAAAAAAAGTCACTTAGGAGATCTATCTTGCTTTTAAAGTCCCTTTTGACGGCAGCCAGACTAGAAGAAATTGTTGATGAAGATTTGCATAATACAGTCCCCAATATAGTCCTGAAAAATAGTCAGGTAGTAAAAATTGTAATCTGTATCCATGGTCATGGAACTGCATCTGCTTACCAAAGAAATTGTATATAGCCAGATTGGTTTTATAATTTGTGTAGCTTGATCATAGATTAACTGTAGATAGTTCCACATTAGGTTGCTTCTGAGTTTAGCTGAATGGTGCAGCTGATGAGCTTGCTTTGGTTGTGCAGTGTTTTTAATGCTTACTGATACTCCTGACCACAAGGGTATTGCCCTAAATTTCCTTGTGTGCTGAACATAATGTATCTGAGAGAAGAGATTTAAGCAGTTCTGACACTTTTTGTTGCATATTTTTTTTTTTGCTTCCCTGAGCCAGAAATCCTAAGTTCTTGAATCATTATCTAAAGCTAGAGTGCCTACATAGACTCATGGAGTTGCTGCTTTCCTTCCGCTTCACAAGTTTTTCATCTTCAATGGTATTAACATATGCACTCATCTCGCTTTTTTAGCCCCAGTAAATATTCCAGCACTAACTAGCTTCTTCGTGTATGTTTTCACTTAAAACTTGAACAGATCATGTAAAACGAAATAGAGGGGTCTTTAGCGTGCATTTTAGTGTTTAAGTAATTTTCGTTTAAACATGCCACATGGGATTTAATTTGAAAAACTTCAAATATACTTGGTTTTTTTCCTGTAATAGGAGTCAGAGTAATTGCTATTTTCAGCGGATAACTAGAGGATCAACCTATTAATAAATGGTGATAATTTCATTTGTGAGATTACTGAAGGGAAAAGGAAATGTTTTGTGTGATACCCATGTTTGTTCATAGTGTTCATTGAGTATGGGCTCTTAAAAGTTTTTTTTATCATTATAAGAACACCTAGAAGCTCGGCCTCAGGGTTTGGGGAACTATATACACATGCAGCAAAAATAGATCAATGCCTTGAAAGGATTTTAGTTCATTCAAAGAAATATCAAATAAACTTCATTGGTAAGTATAAATTCAGAGTTTCAGAATAGAGATAATTGTGTGGGACGGTTACAATGACCAAAAGCTTATTTACTATATTACATTGAAAAGCCTTAGTTCTGTAGACTAGTATGTATGCAAGAAGTTGAAAATGTACATACTCAGATAAGATCTCTAAAGGACTTTCAGTTATTTTTTTTGCTGCAAGAGAAGAATAGAACTCATTAGGTAGAAAGTAAAAATGAACACTGCACTACTAATTTAGTTATGAAAGAAACAAAGTAAGAAATGTGGAATAATTATTAGGAGCGCTGATAGTGAACCCTCTCTTTAAATTGCTAAGCATTTTCCACTGTTAGATTTTTGTAGTATGTTGGGTTTTTTTCCTCAAACCTTTAATACCTTACTGGTTTCACCAACCTTTAAAGTTTACCAAGGTCAAAGACCTGCCGCAGGAGACAGACCTTTTGTAAATATTTCTAAATTCTCATTGAATTATAAAATTTACAAGTTACCACTTCCCTGACTTCATTTGCATTTCAGAAAGAGATTTTTGTAGGCTGGCAAAATGACTGAATATAAAGACTACAAGTCCATGCTGCTGCTGTGAAAAAACAGTGTGTATTTGAAACATTCAGGTCCTGTAGGAACACCAACAGCAGACAGGAATGATGCTGAAAACAAAATGTCATTGATTGATGATTGATCACCTGACCCAACAATATATTGATTTTAAAGGTAAAGGAGGAGGGGAAAAAAAAACATCTATGTACTTCCTTCTGTTCTGCCAGTCACACTGTGTGCCACATTATGCCATTTCCCACTCTATTATGAAGACATTTGTTCAATTGCAAACGTTATTCTGATTCTGAAATCATGTTCTCAGACATGGATACCTTAATGAATTTTTCTTTTCCTTTGAATCTCTGTGTTTTCATAGAGTTGCTAATTACATGTTCACATGATTTCTTTCTAGGAGTTGTGCATCATGCAATACATGAGATTTTTACATATAGGAAAAGATTACAACCTGATTTGGAGCTTTTTCTGTAAGGTTTTATTTTTTTGTACTGCATTCAACGTAAAGTAAAGAAGGAGCAATAACGCTAATGAAATGTGACTCCTTGTTTAAAATTTCCGTTACAAAGAAAGAGGCAGCATGAGGAAAAACAAGTGTAATATGTTTTTCTAGGAAAAATAACCTCTGTTCATCCGGAAAGCTTACTCCTATCCTAAAGGAAAATAGCCATGGGATGTGGTGACCTGAGCTGGTGGAGATATCATTCTGTATAACTTATTAGCTACATTTTCAGTTTTGGAATGGTGCAGAACATTTTCACAAAGTAGTCTGAAAATGTAGGAAGAGATAGGTGGGCTAAGGGAAACCTGCTGATTTTATAGTAAAGATTGGATGCAAGAAAAGGAAGTACTGGAAAGATCAAAGAAACAGCTCTTAAAGAAAATGGGATGTGATAATAGAGTAAGTTATTATAAAGTTTTTCAAGTTAGATAAAATATCAGGATCTTAAATTTAGTGAGTATACATAATAAGTGTGTGCATTTGGAAATTTACAGAAAAATAAAAACAACTATATATATGGTAATACTTTTGTGCTTTTTATTTTAAAATGTTTTCAGTGTAATACTTGCAGGAGAATAGTATTTTTTCTATTAACCCCCAGCTACAAAACATAGAAGACTGAAACCATGACTGCTAAGGCTGGAGAATCCTCAGAGGGTAAGTGTAGTAACTGGGTGGGACCAGTGTGTGATGATATCTGACACTTCAATCTTCAAGTTGAGTTGTTGGTATTAGTGTTTATGAAACAGAGAATGCAAGCAATACAGTGGACAAAACCATTCAGGATTCCCATATTAACTTACTTGATCATATTGGACATACTAGTCATGAAAGATACTGGTGAAACATTTGATGGAATCTAAGGAAAGAAAACACACATATGGAGAGGCTTGGTGTAATTCATTGTTTGCACTAAGTAGGGCAAATTTTCATTTACCTCTAATTTTGACACAGATACTGTGAAGGTTAAACACTTGATGCATAAGTTAATTTTCTTTCTGTTATGCAGCTCAGAATGTGAATGATAAAGCATTTATGACAATTACCTGAAACTATATTACCACATTGTCTTGTTCAGCCCTCAGTCTCTGTTGTGAACTTTGAAGGAAATATGGCCCTAAAAGTGTTTGAGAGGATACTTTTTTTTTTTTTTAAATGTTGTTAATAATGCAGAATGTAAGTAACAGCAAGTTATGAAAAAATGCATGCTGTCCCAACCCTGATTGGGTAATCATATGGAGTGCACTTTGGTAAGAAACAAAATCACGAACTGCAGAGATGCCAGTGATGAATGCCCACCTTTCTCCCTTTCTGGGGACAGTGTGTTTTTCACATTTATTCTGAAATATATAGAAGGTATGCCATGGTTACTATTTCAAGGAGGTAAATTAAATAAACCCACTTCCTGATACAGTTAGTGATGTAAAGCAAGAAATGTGTATGACTAGTCAAGGAGAAGCGTGCAACTAGCCCTTGCACATGCTGACACGCAGCTCTGGCTATTTTATTTGGGTCTGTTCTGCTGTCTCTGCAGCTTGGTGAACTGAACCACCACTAAGCTGTATAGGAAAGAAACTGGAAGAGAGAGGCTGCAGAAGCAAAGAAAGTATTGTGCACTTGTGACCTAAGAATTTGCACAAATCCTAAAGTGTAATTTTAGTCATATAAATTATATTGGAATTTGCTTTATTCTCAGCAATAACAAGGGCCTATTGTTTTGGAGTTTTATTCTATCTTGTTTATTAATACACTGGTATTAATATAGAGCTGTTGATGATAAACTTGTCTGCCTCAGAGAATCATCATGTAATTTGTTACAATTGACTTACACATTCTATAATAGTCCTCGGTCTTGGATATTAGAGTGCCATGGAGTAAATCTGTGTGTATGGCTTTCAGATGAAAGAGAGGAGGATATGTGTGTCATTCTGTAGGTTTATTTTCAGAGTCTCTGTGAAAAGGATCTATAAATCTAGGTCAGAACACAAGCTCAGCGTTACTAGGGCTGCACAGATCCGTGATTTGAAGTTTGAGAGGAATAAAAACATGAACTATAGTAGCTCCATAGCTCAACATATATTTATGTGTTATAAAAATTCCATAGGTTCTGCATGTGCTCGATTCCAGCTAGCAATGTGACTTAATTTTCTGAAACTGCTTTTTTCAGAAAAGTAATCCATTTGCATTGTTCATCTCAAAACTCAAACGCAACAAAAAGAAAAAAACCACGTGACCTTACTAATTTTAAACAGGTTATATTTACTTTCTAAACTAAATCAAAGGTACAGATTATATTTCTATGTAAAAATGCTTGGCATGAGCACTGGCCTTAGAGAGTATAATAATTGAATATGTTTAAAAATAAAAAACTGTTAGGTAGGGTCCCTGATGTTAATTTTATAAACTACTGCTGATACAGCAATGATTTGTATATTTCAGTTTAAACCCAGTTTAGGATAATTTCTTTTTTCACAGTTCAAATGCATCAAGTCAGTGTAATGGCAACAGCAGAGTACTAGTGATAGGGTAAGAATGCTCACACTTACTTTCTGTGGAAGAAATAAATTATAAATAGATAAACTCCTTGAAATTCTAAAACAATCCAAAGATTTTGAAGAAAGAACTTTCAAAATAGAATCTGCTTAATTTTCTGCCCCTTGGTCATCCTCACTGGTTTAAAATGTAATAATTTTTTTTATTAGCATATATCATAACAATATCATGCACAATACATAGGTAATCAGCAAACATATACACTGTGTAAACAGTATTATACTCTATGTTTCTTGGTATCTTTCAGTTGATGATATCAGAGACACCTATAAATGTTGAATGAAAGCAGTCTAGTTACATTCCAAATAACTTTTAATTTATACCTGAAAATTCCATAGTTTGCCTATGAGATTTCATACTATCTCATATAACAGACAAGATATTCCTGGGGACTGTTATGTGCTGGTATTATATCTTCTCATGTATGAATGGGTGAAATCCTGGCTTCATTAATATCAACAGAAATATGCTGAGTGAAGCCAGGTTTTTATTTACGTTCTTTTTCTGGATGTCTTTTCAACTGTTTTGTTTAGGATAATATTAGAGATTTTTCTGTTGCATATCCCACTTAAGATACATGCAAAAACTGAAGCAAAGATGCTTGCAAGGTTGTTTCTGATGTGAAATGAAGACAAACCTTTCCAGATAAGTACCTTTCAGTAAAAATAAATATAATTTTCTTTTTCTATGCAAAGAATCTTGTAATCAAAGATAATACATAAGATTAGGCACCTTATGACTGGATGGGAGGAGAAATGGTGATTAAACACAGTTCTGCAGTCAGCATATGTAGGGCAGTCCCAGAAGTGTTTTTCAGTGTTGTGGACAGACCCTTTCTCAACCCCAAGCTTGAGAATGGGAATGCTTCATGCATCAGATTGATATGATAAAAAAAAGCTTTTTAGTTTTCTGATGTTAGGTTTTTTTGGATGTCTGTAAATGTGCCATTTTTGAGATTGAGCCTTACCATATTACCCATTTTTCATTTAATCCCCCTGATTTTTGCATCCATAATATAATAAATTGCTGTCCTCTCAGCAAATGTCACTTTCATCTGTTATTTAGATTGCAACAGCTTTGTTTTCAGACTTTGTAAAGCATCTGTAGTAGCTGCAAAAGAGAGGCCAGTTTGTTTTGTCCATACCTGAATTAATCCTCTTCTATCAGAGAAAATATAAATGCGAAAATTTAATGAAGTGTAGAAAGATAAATGCTACTATAAATGTCATTACTTATATACTGATGCATCTTCTCTGTTTTTTTTACAAAAATGTTCAGGTTTTTTGTGAAGTAGACTAGAAATGTTTAGCGAGTGAGTTGAAGAAAAGTTAGAAAGCAGCAATATTGATTCAAACAGCCTGGATTGTATACAAAGGCTCTCTTAAGTACATACAGTAGTGGAGTAGTGCCAGAATATTTCTGACCTTTTCAAGTTAATTGTCCTGAAAGTCATTGGCATTCTCTTTTTATTACTAAAGCTTTCCCATTCCAGTGTTTATAATGTAAACTTTTTAAAAACAGTAATGTAGTTCAAAAAATTAGAAATTGCACAATGTAATGATATAGAAAGGACCTTGATATGAAACAAAGGAAGGATTAGGTAATGTCTGGTTACCTTTCTTTTCTTCTGACTGATCTGTTTTCTGATTTTTTTTCTGTTACCTCTCTTCTTGAAAATGTACGTAGTGAACTCTTCTACCTGGGGAAAGTTTTTTTAAGCAAATAACAGATATATCTTAAAATGTAGGAGACTGCGGAAAACTAGATTTAGTGCAGATCAGGGGATACTGTCATTCTTTGTTTCAAGGGCACATTGCTGTCTCATGGTTAACTGTCTGTACAACAGGAACATCAGATCATTTTCTGCAGAGCTGTTTTCCAGCTGGATGATCTGTACTGGTGATGGGGTTTTTCATCCCCCAGTGTAGGGCTTGACAAATTCCTCTATTGAACTCCATCAGATTCCTGTTGGCCCATTTCTCTGGCCTACTCAGGTCTCTCTGAATAGTTGCACAATCCTCTGGCTTATCAGCCACTTCCCCCAGTTTTTTGTCATCAGCAAACTTGCTGAGGGTGCACTCTATGCCATCATCCAGATCATTAGTGAAGACATTGAACAGTTCTGGGCCCAAAACTTATTTTCTACTACTTATTTCCTTATTTGTTGCATTTATTGCTACTTGCACACTTGTAAAAGACTTCACCAGCTTCAGCATCTGATGGACTTGTCTTTTCTACTATCCCTGCATGCTCAGGCCAGTGTCTTTATATTCCTCACAGGTTTACCTATCCCTGTTTCCATCTGTATATTGCTTGTTAGTCCAGGGATGTGATTTTGCTTCTTTCCACAGTCTCTCCTTTCAGGATCTTGAACTCCACCATCTCATGGTCCCCACAGGCAAGGCAGCCTTCGTCCTTCAGGCGCCCTTGTGTGTTCAGCCTTCGCATCCCCTTATTTGTTAAGAAGGTGCAGCAGCACACCTCGTTTGCAAACAATGCCCGTATCACCCCCATGAAGGTGTAATTTTCAGACCTCTATGCAGTTCACAGGGCTGCATAATGAATCCATGTCCAATAGGACATGGATTGACCAGACAGAGATCAAGAGCATCTCCTGTCTACTGTTACCAGTCATACTGAACAGAGTTACTCTCTGGGGCTTTTAGTACTCTCTATGTGAGACCAGAAGAACATTAATATTTAAAAGTCATACATATAGCTAAAGTTAAATTTTATGTCAAATCAACAATTACAAGATATATCGATGGAAATTTTTCAAGACATCTAAAAGCAGGGGATTGTGTAAATTTTTCAGAGCTCT